ACCAATACTGTAATGTGTGCCTTACTGTAATCCATGGTTGTTTCCCTTCTCTTTGCTGCTCTTCCTTTTAAATCTGTATCTGTTCTCATGCTCAGCAGACTGCCTTGTCTCTGAAATGGATGCATGGGGGGTGATTTACTAACCTAAACACACGCACGCACCAGGTGCGTGTGATTTTCACACAGCAAAACGTATTTATCAACCAAAAAGTCTCTAAAAGCATATTTCCACTAATGCCATATATGGAAAAATCATGCACATGATGCATATATAATGCTGCTTCACAGTTTAGACAAAAATGGTTAGCTCATGCATTTACATTCCTGCATTCATCAACGCAAGCAACACAACATAGAGCTAATTTACACATCATCACCTTGCAAATTCATGCAGGGCTTTGCACAACACACCTGCTGGGTGTGTACACACTACAAAGGTGAGAACATAGAAAAACACCAAAAAGGACTACTCGGCCAGTATGGACCAATATAAGCACAAGTGTAGTCAGAAACAAACTGTCATAGGAGGCTGCAAGAGGAGAGCCCAGCCTCCTGTGACAGCGCTGGCTGTCTCCGCCCCCACACCGCTCTGCTGCACTGTGATAGGCGGTCGAGCGGTGTGGGAGGAAAGACACCGGCCACTCACAAGGCTCGTCCCGCAGCGCTCGGCCGGCTGTCATTTTCTCTCTGATTCCTTTCATCCCTGCTGGGCACTGCTCTGTGTCCCAGCGGGGATGAAAGGAATCACGGCCGCGCCGACAAAACGGCAGGAAAATGTCCCTTTCGGCATTTAGCCGAAAGTGCCATTTTCGCCCGGCTCCCCCCCTTCACTTTTCGGCCGGGGCCCGCGCCCCTGCTGCCTCCCCCGGTTGTTATGCCACTGCGTGTGTAGAAAGGTCTGCAGGATGCTGCCCCCAAACCAGCCAGGGAGACCGCAAAATCTAGGGAAAAAACACAAACAAGGGGCGCCTTTCCTGGTGCAGACAAATTTATTAAGATCAGGATCAAAGGTAAATAAAAAACATACTCACAAAATTCAGCATGATAATAATATAAAAAGTAAGTCCATGAACCCAACAGAAAGTCTATGAAAGCTGCACAGTCGTGTCTATGTGTCAGCAGAGGAGACTGTGTGATGTGTGATGACGCGTTTCCGGGGTCACGCCCCCTTCATCAGATACAGACCACCTCCGTCCCATGTGCTAAATATAGTGGGAACTAGCCAATTGGCAGGTGTGCAGGAACAAAATCGGCTCAGACCGCAGCTGATAGGAATGTCTATAGAGTGTCATCCATGACTATAGAGGTGGAGCCCTGTCCTGTGACTAACTGAACAGCCCTTCCTGGCGCTGGACCAATCACGAGGAGACTATACGTGGGATCGCCTGGAGGGAGTGGCCCATGTTATCGTCCAATCCACAGGACAGAAAACCGGACCATGTTCTGCTATGTAGCATATCGATTGTGCACAATCGATATGCTACATAGCAGAACATGGTCCTGGAGGGAGTGGCCCATGTTATCGTCCAATCCACAGGACAGAAAACCGGACCATGTTCTGGATTGAAGGGATTGGATACATCTACATACAAACTAGATACATCTACATACAAACTAGAAAATACTGACTGATAGCAACAGACAATCAATACATTTGATCCATTGCGGCATTCTTTTGGTTATTTGTCCACCCCAAAGGCAGACGTGCACCTTCAAGTTCTGTTACATGTAGGTAAATGAAACATTTCAGTATTCTGGGAAATACAAATGTAAAGGATTATCCTGTCAGGGTTATTCAAAGCAAAGGGCATTGAAGATATGCTATAAGTGTTGTAACCAAGCCAGTTAGACCTCATATCTTAAATAAGTTTACTACATTATATCAAACTCTGTTCTTTGCACTATTTGGTTAAATATGCTTCATTTAGAGTTGGATAATTTGCCTTTTGATTTCTATGGTCAGTGCTGAGATAGGATAGAGCAATATCCTTAAAAGTATACTATGCTCCCTGAAGACTGAATATGCATTCCACCTTAAAAAAAATATTCTGAGGATTGGACCCTTTAACTTAACCAATGCACATGTAGCTTTAACTACTTGCTGATCAGGTGTTTACACCCTCTTCCTGTCCAGGTAATTTTTTAGTATTTAGCGCTGCAGTACTTTGACTGGCATTTATTCCGTCATGCAACGCTGTACTGAAATGAATTGTATAGGGGACAGATAGAGCTTTCTTTTGGTGGTATTTAATCACCACTGCAGTTTTTATGTTTTACTATGTTAAGGAAAAATTATTGAAAATTTTAGGGAAAAAAAAAAGGTGTTTTTTTTAACATTATGATAGGAAACAATTATTATTACCAAATTTTTTGGTAAAATAAAAAAGATGTGGTCACGTCGGGTAAATAGACACCAAACATGTCAAGCTTCAAAATTGTGCGCACGAAACTGTATGTCCCAGGCATCGGGCGATAAGGATTCACTCCATAAGACGCACAGACATTTTTGCCCGCCTTTTGGGGGAAAAAAGTGCGTCTTATGGAGCAAAAAATATGGTAATAAAGGCAAATAGGATGTTCACTTTGCAACTGCATTTTCCTTTGCTTAGTGAATGAAGTGAAGCTCTGCTGACTTCCATCATCCACTCATTGCAAGCAAAAATACTGTTGTTTTATTTTCCTTGCACATGAATCATGGATAACACCACCTATTCTATAGTCTCACTGGACCAGGATCTGGCCCTGTTGAGACAATGGGAGATCCCTCCCGCCTCGGAAACCCCCAACAAAGAACTCATTGCAAGCAAAAATACTGTTGTTTTATTTTCCTTGCACATGATTAGGTATTGTTTGCAAAAGGAATTTTCACCACATTCACATGACAGTAGGTTGTCAACAAAGTGAACAACCTATTTGCCATTATTAAATCAGCCCCATTATCTTCAAACTCTGGCCTGATTTGGGGGGGCGTGGCCAGTGCTGGAGTCGGATGGCAGCTTGAAACGGAGCTCCGTGCTCGAGCAGACGGCGGATCGTGACTGACACACAACGAGACCCGGGACACAGCTACCCACATACAAACTCTGGCCTGATTTGATCTGTTAAAACATTGTTCTGCAGCCAAGAAGTGTAGTCTTTGTCATGCCCTGAAAACTAAAAAAGTTGTTATGTGTGAGTTCCTAAGACTAAAACATGTTAGATGAATAGTTTAAATTGTACCAACATAAAATGCAATACATGTAGTGTGTTTTTTTTCCAGTTTATACCCCAACAAAGCAACAGCTTCTGTTAGCATTTTCTTCCCAGGGTAAAGTGAAAAGTTAAGCCTTGGATTAAAAGTGGCTTGCTATTAGTCTGCTTGCTGTACGGTACATTATACAGTGCTTAGCAGCTGGTTTTTGGAACATCAGTCAGGAAATTGTATGATAAATTGGAGGTAGCCGGGTCCACAGGCACATTACTCTGCTTCAGCAGTTTTAGCTTGACTTCGGAGAGGCTGTCATGTGATGTTCTGTCAAAGGGTAACATCAGGAGATTGATCACATACAGTAACATTTTTCACATGTATTTGAGATATGACGAGTACCAGCTGTTCTATTCATGTGTAAATAATAAACCATGAGACATATAATTGTACAAGATGCATGCACAGTGCTTTATGCAGAAGTGTAATAGTCCCTTAGCTTGAGACAGTTCCTTATGAATGATTTACTGTGTTTGCAGAGAATTACTGTACAGATACTTTATGTGTCAAACACAACAGAACCGTTATCCATGACACTAGCGGGAAGTGTTGTTGAATGTTCGGATAGCATAGTGTCAAGCAAAACTAACAATTATGCGTTTCCTTTTAAGCGGATAAGCAACTTGGTTTCAATTTCAATAGTTACTCCAAGGTTGCCTGTTAAGTGATTTAGGTTATAAAAGTAACAGGATTCTTGATGTTATTCTATTATTTGACCAGGATTTTATCTAGCTGCAGTTTTGTATGTCAAAGAAACTCTTCATTTTCAAATCAGTTCTGTACCCCGATGTCACTATTTAAAGTTAAACTTTAGGCAGATGTAAAAGCAATTAAAGAAGGACTCCAGGAAAAAATTGTATTAACCCTTGCAGTGGAGCTACCCCCGCACTGCAAGGGTTATAGAGCTGCAGCTAACGATTATTTTCAAAATCGATTAGTTAGCCGATTATTAAGTTCGATTAATCGGTTAATCGGATAAAAAATAAAATACCTTTTAAAAATGGCTCCAGTGACGGACTACTAGTTTGTATTGAGATTGCAGCCCATCACAAGAGCAAGCTTGGAGCGGTGGAAGTAAAAAAGAAAATATATGCAATATAGTGAAATGAAAAGTGTAAAATTATACAGCAATGATGAAGAATGGCACCGGCTATAGAGGACTCCAAAACCTGGTGGTATTCTGCATTGTGCTGTATAATGTAGTATTGCTGGGTGTTGTAGTCCTCTATAGCGAGTGGTATTCGGCATTGCACCAATGTATAGTGTACTATTGCTTGGATTTGTTGTACTCCTCTATAGCTGGTGATATGACTATGACTATATATGACTATGAGATCCTATACTAGCCCAGTTAATCCATGCCCTAAAGTAGTCCTTTGAATCTATGTTCTTTTTTAAGGACCAGTTAGATTAAGATGACATGGGACAAAACAAATTGAATGTTAACCTGACTGAACAATTGATTCCTTAGTAAAGGGAGAATATATGCATCAATATGATCAATGTTTGCATGGCTGCACAGTCGCATCTAAAGCTGAAAATGCAGTCATAAAAATTAAATATACAGTATCTGCATTTAGCTTGGGATTTCTATACTTTTGTAAATGCTCGATGAAATACTGTATATGTTGGTAACTTTATTATTGTTTGACTAAATATCTTTTATGATTTTAACGTGGGTATCACGAGACAAATTGTGCAATCCCTCACTTTTTCTGTGTGCCCATAACTTACACAAAATGTATCTTTCCTTTTAGATACACCTCACCTATTTCCAGCCTTTCACCCCCCAGTGCCAATTGACGCAAGGCATCATGAAGGTCGATATCATTATGAACCTTCCCATATCCCTCCACTGCATGTGTAAGTATATCTTTTGATAACCATTTCGTGTTAAAACAAGAAATAACACTGGGGAACAATTTTTTTCTTATTTTCTGTTGCATGAGATTTTTCAACTGATTCTAAGTAATTTTTATATGAAATCGGTTTTCCTCTACATGCTCTGGTTTTCATGCAATTTGATTGCGCAAAAAAAGGACACCTAAATGCTATTTACACTAGTGATAGCTTGAGAATTAGGCTTACATCTACCCTAACCTTAGACTAATTAGAGCTAATTTTTTTTTACAAACATCAATATTCACAATTTTTTTTGTTAATTTTGGATTATATAGATTTATCTGATTTACTTGATTTTCTTGATGAAGCAGTTTTGTGAAGGCATTAAGTGGTGATGGGGAATGTTTTCAACATATAGTTCCGGCTTTGTCTAGATCAAAGCAGGTGTGTTCGATGGACCTCAGATTTGTGCCTTTGTACGTGATGAGAAATTTGTCAGGAAGATGAATGACAAGGAGAAGGCAGCATGGCTGTCTTTTGTGGCAGTTAGACAAAACGTTTTTGGTAACAAAAAGGCAGATAACTATGATGTTCTTGTTACTAGAATGCTGTTGGCTTTTTGTGAACTTGGGTGCAACATGAGTGTCAAGCTCCATTTCCTAAATAGTCACCTTGATCAATTCCCAGAGAAACTTGGGGCTGTTAGTGATGAACAGAGAGAGCGCTTCCATCAAGACCTTATGATGATGGAACAGCGCTAACAAGTGCGAGGGGACAAAAATATGATGGCAGACTACTGCTGGAGCATCGAACGAGATTGCCCTGAGAAAGTCCACAAATGTCACAGCTACAAGGGCAAATTCTTTGCCTGAATAGGACATATTTGAACCCATCCTTATCAGTTATTCTGAATCACCTATCATCTTTATGTAGAAATATATGTTAATTTAACATAAAAAGCATAAGTGCATACTCATATTTGACTATAATGGATACATGTTTTAGATTTATGGCTATGTTGTGGTGCACTGCTAAACTCTAGCACTATCAGCTAAAATAAATAATCTAGAAATTCAGGAACAAGTGCACTTACTTACTTTAACTTAGGGGTCTGATCACGAAGCTGCCGAGGGCAGCCGAGTGAATGTTCGGCTATTCACTTCAGGCTGGTACGGCTAATTTCAGCCGTACATCGTCTGAAATCAGCCGTACATCGGCTTGCTTTGTGTGGCTTCGGGTCGGCCGAACATGCTCAGCATGTTCGGCCGACCCAAAGTGCAGAAGGAGTTCGACTCTGGATCGGCTGAGCCGAACAATATATTGCAACAAATGATAGAATCTTATAGCTATAACCTTTCATCTTTTTTCTTTTAGCTGCTGTCCTCTTGTGAGCTTAGCTGAGATCTTTAAAGTTTTTTTAGTTTAGATTTCTTCCAATCATCATGACTGAAAAATGAGGTAATTCTGCACTGCCACCGCAGCCTAGTGATTAACTCATGCAAGTTATTCAGGGCCAGGGGGAATATGTAATTAGCAAAAAAAACAAGGGTTTAATATCACTCTAATAACCTTGTTTCTGTACACATCTCACGTCTTTATGGACATACGCATGTATGTGCGTATGGGTTGAGATGCACTACAGACCGTTTTTAGAGCAAGAACCTGCTTACATTTCTACACCCCTGTGCATGAGGCCTAATGCAAACAAGCAGCAGGTGTTTCTGAGCTGTTGGACTACAGTTTTATTTTAGATCTTAGATTTAGATTTAGATTTGAGAATAAATAAGTTCACATTCAAAGCACCTGGAGAAGTCAGGGATGGCTTGTTTTAGAGCTTTTTAAAGATCTGTTCTGCTCGGTGCCTCTGAGGGACCAAGCAGAACAGCCGAGCCAAATGCCGCTCGGCGGCATTCGGCTATTCTCTCACTGCTGTTCGGGATCTTTCAGAATAGCCCGAACAGCAGTGAGAAGCCTGCCGGAGGTTCGTCTCAGTCGATCCAGATGTTGGATCGGCTGAGTCGAACTCCTTCTGCACTTCGGGTCAGCCGAACATGCTGAGCATGTTCGGCTGATCCGAATCCACACGAAGCAAGCCGATGTACGGCTGATTTCAGCCGATATACGGCTGAAATCAGCCGTACCAGCCTGAAGTGAATAGCCGAACAGTGTTCGGCTCACTTCACTTCTGATTGGTCATTCACTCGGCTGCCCTCGGCAGCTTTTTGAATAGACCCCTTAGATGCAAGTGGTGGAGCTACACCTTATTACTGTTAAGCCATGCCCACACCAGACTATACCTAGTTTTCCTCATGGCACAAAAAGTCTGCTACTTGCACATCTCAAAAGTAAGATACATTTCATGTTACTAATAACAAACTTTTTTATTTCTTTTTAGATTAGATTTACAGCCTATGGCAGTGACATTTTCTTTAAAAGTAACTCCAAGTTTAAAATCACTTTGCATGGGTTGGAAGTGTTTAAATGTCGCTTTTCTTGGCTACCCATACTGTGTTTTACTCGAGTAGCATTTACTTACAATTTTAGTATCTAGGATGATGATAAATTAGATTCTCTGCTAAACAAATTCTCCGCTGTGAAGAGAATGAATTGATGTTAGCTATCCTTACTACATGCTAAAGTACACATATAATGATGTTTGCTGTAGTCTAGCCATTAACAAGCTGTAATTGCAGTGAACGTTTTGCCAGAAAGAATACAATAAATCAGTGTCAAAAGAAAAAAAAAACCTTAGTACGCACTATTGCCACTATGTTCAGCATTCACAATTTATGGTATGGTAGTATTTATATGTGAAGATGGCTATACATCTTCACCACCCTTAGTTAGGTTCTACAATGGCTCAGTACATTTTTTAAATTTTATTATTATTTTATTCTGGATTGTGGGGTCGTGTGGGTATTCACTACAATGTACATAATTATTTTTTACTTGTCCCTATTTCAGTTAGCAAACACGTTTTTTGTTTTTATATTATGGGTATATTGGGGAATTGCTGAAAAATTTTACAGACATTCACCAACACATTTATTAGGTAACATTTTCATTTATTATAATAAACAGTCGCCACACATTCCCTGACACCAGTTGAAAAAATAATTCAGTGATTTTTGCCAAAATCTGTTTTTTCAGCCATGCCAGTTCCCAAATACCTTACATATAGTTGGTGGTGACTGCATAACATATCTAGATACACCTTTATGTCTTAAAATTTAGTAAACTCTGTTTACGTAAGTCGATGTTCTCGTAGAAACTCGGACTCATTAGAAATCTAGACCAGAGTGTCACTTCTGGGGGCGTCAGCTGCATGCATAAGCTCTGAGTTGCTGATCTGGGGGGTGGACGGGGAGGGGGGATTTATGTGCATCCTCAGACCCTCTGATCAGGTCCATAAATTTTGCATCTGCCGGGAAGTGGCAGCTTGCCTGTAAATTATCTAGACACGCGTCCCGACACATGTGCAATACAGGCAAATAGCCTGTGAAATTTCTTGACCCAATCACCTCTTCTGTACTTTCGTGGAACCTGTCCACATTTCTAACGAAGTCCGGGATTCTGTTAGAACACAGCAATCCATTTTTTACTCCTATTATAGTCCAAGACACCTTAAACAGCTTTAACCTTTTTGTGGGCAGAGGTCATTGAAGCCTATAAGTTCAAATAAAATTTAGCAGTGTTATTTAACTTGACAACAACTCTATGGCCAAATTCGCCTACCTAAATATTTTACTTTGTTTTTTATGATATAGAAGGCTTTTATTTGATACACTGTTTTAATAAATGCTCATGTTTTTATTATGTGTTTACAAATATAAATAAATATATATATTTTTTTACACATAAATTTAAAAAAAATGTAAAAGCTTTCAAATTATTTCTTTTTTTCACATTCTGTGATCCACAATGACAGCTAAAGCTGTCACTTATACATTTCACCATTCCTTCCTGTCTCTATACAGTTCACAGTTTGTTTTAACATTCATTTTGTTAGGTAACATATATACTTCTTCTTTAGCTAATTAACCAAAAGTGAATGTCATTATTTGAAAGCAATTTTCTTAAGGAGACACAAGAATCCAATATTTATTTACTTTAATAGTCAGTAGTAATTTCTATACAGTTTTCCTGCTTACAAAGAACAAGAGTTGAGTGTTTTGAGAAATGGCAGTTCCTCATTTGTTTTCTGTGATTACATTTTCCATGGCACACCACTCTAGCAGTGCTCTTAGACCAGCAAGCACATATTAAGACTTCATCACAAAAGAGCAGATTAAATTAAAATCTCATAACATGAAATATGCTCCATATTAACTGGATGACAACTCATTTGCTTCTGAATATATAGGGACGTCACAAATTAACCTGCCTGTGTTTTCCTACAGTAACATTTCAATAGTCATGTTATTTCACTTACAGTGGATAATGATAGCTGATGCGTAAAATGTAGCATATAGGACACAAATAATGTATTTAGTTATCTTTAGGCATCTTAATTAGAAAATCATTAGAGTCGTTCCATTGACAAAGATGCAACTTGAGATAAAAATGGACTCTAAGCATGCAGCTAAATAAACATGCATTAAATACACAGGAAGGTTTTACCTGTCAACAGACTTTGCCACACAGTACAGCAAAGCCCTTGACCTCTACTGCAGCTTAAGCTTGCTATAAACCAATAGATTTTTCTTGTTCAGTCTGTGGGCTGAACAACAAAAAATCGAACATATTCCTCCATCGATGCTAAACAGCGTGGATAAATGAATCCCCTGCTGCGGCTATTGTATTCTGACAGCGGACGCCCCCAAACATTAGAATTCATACAAATTGGCTGCAGTCACTGTTTTGCTGAAAATGTTCTGCCTGGCTCCTTTGACAAAGTCGATTGAGTAATCAGCTTTTGTCAAGCTGGTAGGGGCACACAATCCAACCCTTAGCTTGAACAAACCTCTATCCTACTGATTGGTAAGTTGAAGGAGCAGCATAAAGATGTTGTTCTGGTTGGT